CCATCAACACTCTCAACTATCACCATTTATTCGTGATCTTGGTATACATGTAAAATTATTTGTTATTGGTGAAACACACTTATGACGTAATGTTCGACATACTGATATTGAAAAATTCATTTTATCTGTTCCATCTAAACAATTCCATATTTCATTGCAACTTGTATATACATCATTACATGGTCATAGATGACAATTAGTCTCATCCGATTCATTTTTGTCATTAATAATAATAAATGATAATTCTTGAAAACCATCACATATTGTTTGAAATTAAATGTTTCGATTTTTTTTAGTATCAGATAATATTTCATCATCATCTATTAAACAATCAGTTTTTAAATCATTGACTAATATCAATGATATACAATGATTTTCCATAGAACAATAAAAACAATGTTTTTGGTTGAGAGAAGAACTCTTATTAAGGTTTTCATCATCATTTAAATAACAATCTTGGTTACCATCGAGTAAACTATATTTAGAAATACATGTTAAACTATTTGAACATCGATATAATGATGAATATAAACAATGAGTTCTATTAGTTAATTTCTTATTTATTAAATAATCTTGAAAAAACTTTTAATTGGTATTAAAAGATTATTCAAAGTACGTCTAATAATTGGCTTCTTTTTAAAATCAAATTCAGAAAATAATATACATTTTGAATTATTAAATAAATCCATTTCAACTATTGGAAGAGAATGTTCACATCATTTTTGTTCATAACATACAAATTCAGGTAATGAGGCGTATTGAGAATTATAATCAGATTGATTGTTTGTATAGACGAAAAACACATGATTGGAAAAGATATACATTGGAGAAAATTCAAAAAAAGACTAGGACATTTTTCTCTTATGATTTTTGCACATGAAATTTGGAATTGTTTAGATGGAACAGATAAATGTTGTTGTACGTTCATGAGGTCTATCGCCTGGTACATAAATAAAATGTATTAAGAATGATAATGGAATTTCAGTATCATAAAAAGAGACTATAATCTTTCTATCATTTGTGTTACATTGTTTATCAGAATAACCTTCTTTACAAATACAGTACCATTGATTATTAATGCTACGTTCATCGAATGGTACACATTGTTCAGAAGTTTTACAAATATCTTTAGAACAAATAGATTGTGTTAATGAACATTATCTACCATATTTTCCAAGTAGCTATATACATATATTTGACCCAATGTAAAACGAATCGGATGAAAAATTATATGTTTCATATATGATAGAAAAACGTAAGCCTGACCAACTTGGACCATATTGACAAAAATCTATTTTTGTATTTTCATTTTTTTTACATTGGCTATGATTACATTGAAGCGTGCATTTTACAACTTCAGAAATGAATGTTGGAATAATTAATCAAATTGATAAACGATGAACAGGTAAAAAATGAAAACTCAAGTGGATATAACCAACTGGTATGATACTCTAAAGATGTTGCATTAAATGCATCTATACGAACAGAATAATTCTTTATAATATTTTTCGGTCAAATTGAACACAATAGATATACATTAAATTTTTTTACTACAATCTCGAATTTCTAAATAATTAAAATATTCATATGAATTAATTTGACCTTCGTTATCAATTAACATGATAATAATTGTAAAAACCATACGAAAATTAGCAATTGCTTGTAACTGCAAAGTAAGACTAACACGTTGATTCTGATGTTGACATTGATCTCTATAATAACTGGGTGGACATAGACATATGAGTTTATCATACTTACCTCGATTACATCTCCATCTTCGAAAAAATTTTCGCATTTTATCGTTATATTTTAAAGGATGACTATTTCATAAAAATTTTATTTTGTTCTAATATATTATTTGAATCATGATGAATTTTCATATTTATTTCATTAAAATATAATAAAAAATAGACAATTGACTTCTTTGAAGAATCGGTTAAACCACAAAGAAATGTTTCAACATTTGTATGAGTTATATCTAATGGATTATCACAAATAAGCTTTGTAGTAAAATTACGTTCAAGACAAAATATTTCATCATCATAAAATGAACAAGTCGGATTTTTATTGCAAAAATCATAAGGTTTAATATACATGGTTTCTGGATTAGTAAAACTTCGACATAGAAATCGACAGACAGCGCAATCGGGTGCATGTATTCGACATATCTGACGTTCATCAGATCCACCTAAACAATCTACAATATCATTATTTACCTTTGAT